GTAGGTGTTCAGAATGGTTTGATCCCTATCCAGCTGAATTCCTGAGAGGAGACGAAATCCAGGTCTCCTACTCCTCCGCCATCTTGCTCCACCCCCCTTTACTCTGAATTTTAAGTTTTTTTCTTACCTTGGTATTATTTGTCCTCCTCCTGATATTTTCATAAGCAATATCTTACTCTACTTTGGGCATTACTTTATTTTAGGGTCCATATTTCATATCTAATATGGGGCCAGTCAAATCACAAAAGGAATTCTCACCATTTTTTTTTTTTACTCATTAGTCATTTAATAAAGATTTAATGAATACTTCAACCACTGAATTCCATAACAGTGTTAAGGAACCAACCATAAGTTGCTTCAGTTGGGATTGATGCCTCTCCTTCTTCTCCCATATTTTCTTGGCTCTGCTCCATGCAGAAATGGATTTTCCTTGTCTGTGGTGATGGCCCAGGTTGATTTGAAATGATTGAGTTAAAGGAGATTTATAGGCACAGGAGCTGCAATGATGCAAAAATGCCTGGAAATGAAAGTCCTGACCCCCTTACCTAAAGCCACCTTTCAGTGATCATTTTTTTTCCACTTTGTAGGCACAAATCCCAGAATCCAGAACTCCAACATGCCCAGAGAGTGTATCAGGCAGTTCTTTCCAAAATGGAAGTGCTTCATCTTTGGCCTACAAATGACAGAAATCACTTATTCCATCTTGAGAAGGTGCCAGAAGACAAGCTGGACAGTACTTCCAGGAGCAATCAAAGAAATTCTGTACCTATATTTTCAATCATACAAAGACCAAGACCCTAAAAGAGGGAATCATTGTCACTGAGAGCTGTGAATCACCTTTGTCCCAAAGCACGTCTCTGTGTCAGTGTGTGGTGGAGCTTTGATGATACCCTGGATTTGGCGGTAATTTTATTTACATCTGTGTGTAACTATGGAAGCAGATATTCATGCCATGAAAAGATATCCATATGTGTTTATTCATTAAAGTCTCCCTATGTGAGAGTCTGCTGAGACCTAATATATCTCAGGAACCTCATCCACTAATCATAAAAAGGCAAGATGGAGTTAAAGAGAGGACATCTGTATATTGAGAAATTCCATGAGATAACTTCTTGTCTTTAAGGAGATAGCAGATATTTTGTAAATTTACATGAGTCAGGTCATAAGTAGAAGTTACGAGTTCCTGCAAGTCCACTGAGAAACAGAATTATGTGTAATCTTATGTGCAGGGCAGGCTTCATGGGCATGTGATGTAAGCAGTCCTGTAGTGCCCTGTGTGGAGATGGGCCCGTATTTGCTTTAAGAGTCTCTATCCCTGTTTTGAATTCTCAATCATTTTCTTCTTTTTTTTTTTTTTAAAGATTTTATTTATTTATTTGACAGAGAGAGACACAGCAAAAGAGGGAACACAAGCAGGGGTAGTGGGAGAGGGAGAAGCAAGCTTCCCACTTAGCCAGGAGCCCGATCCCAGGACCCTGGGACCATGACCTGAACTGAAGGCAGACACTTAACGACTAAGCCACCCAGGCGCCCCAATTCTCAATCATTTTCAAGTAGGAGTTTACATTTTTGTTTTGTACCAGGCCACACAAATTATGTAGCTGGTCTTGTTTGTGTCCATTACTTCACCTATATAATCTATTCCTTTTCATTCTCATGAACGGGAAATCATTTTTCCAGTAATCCATGCACATACTGTGTAATTGTTAATTTAAATTGTCATAGGACAAAACGGAGAACAATAAAAGAAAGAACAGGGAAACAGTAATGCTGTTAGAAAGGAATAGATTCCCAAAAGGAGAAAATAAAATTTCCTTGTAAATAAGGTGGGGTTTTTGTGATCTTAGAATAATGCTCCATAAAAACTATAAGCCAGTGATTGAGACCTTGGTATTTATCCTCAAATTTCCTGGCTTATTCAGGGCTGGGGACTCTGTTGAAAGCCTATGTGGATGCCATTAATCATGAAGCAGTTCCTTGCTTGGAGAACGCAGTGACAGCTCTAGCCCAGCGTGAGAACTCAGTGGCCGTGCAGAAGGCAGCTGACCACTACAGTGAGCAGATGGCCCAGCGAGTGAAGCTCCCCACAGACATGCTCCAGGAGCTACTGGATGTGCATGCAGACTGTGAGAGGGAAGCCACTGCAGTGTTCATGGAGCACTCCTTCAAGGATGACAAGCGGGAGTTCCAGAAAAAACTCATGGTAATTGTCTTAGCATTTAGCACTCCTGATTTCTGCCTTCTGAAATGATGCTTAGAGCCTATATTTTTGATCAAATAGCTCATCTCTTTATCATGTTCAAAGGAGCCTGGATTGTTGTGAGACAGGGCTCTACAGGTTATAGATTACCTTTTTACTCTAACATAGGCATTTTTAAAAATTTTCTATTGCTGCATGAGAATTGCCATGAATTTACCAGTTTAAAACAGCAAACATGAATAAGCTTCACCAACCCACAGATCAGAAGTCTGGCACGGGGTGGTCATGTGCTCTGCTCATGGTATCACAAGGCTAAAAACAAATGTCAGCCTGACCCAAGTTCTCATCTGCAGGCCTCTGAGGAGCCTCCAGTTCATTAAGGTTGTTGGCATATCCAGTCCCATGGATTGCAATTTACAGATTCAAGGAAAAAGGTTCTGTTCTTTTTTTTTTTTAAGATTTTATTTATTTATTTGAGAGAGAGAGAGGGCACGAGTGAGCAAGCATGAGCTGGGTGAGGGGCAGAGGGAGAAGCAGCTCTCCACTGAGCAAGAAGCCCGATGTGGGGCTCGATCCTGGAACTCTGGGATCATGACCTGTGCCAAAGGTAGACACCAAACCAAGTGAGCAACCCAGCCATCCCAAAGTTCTCTTCTTCTATCTTCACACAGTTGAATCCTTGGGGGAAAACTCATGAAAGATTCCAAACTCTGTTCAGAGTATTCTTCAGTCATCACTGGGTATTTGATTTTCTTTGTACACATTTCCATCCATTGCAACCCAAATCCTCTGAGGAAACACTATTTCCAGCCACAATTCAACTTCCTATTGTTCATTGTTGATGGTTGAGTCACTGTTACTCATACTACAGCAGAAGTAAAATTGGAGTTTATGTCTTCCAACCCTATCATTTTACAGATGATAAGCCTGAATCCAAGAGAGTTAATGGGCTTTCCAAGTAACACAGAGAATCGATCAGAACTAGGACTAAAAGTCTATTGGGGTGCCTGGGTGGCTCAGTCAGTTGAGTGTCTGACTCTTGATTTGGGCTTAGGTGATGACCTCAGGGTTGCTGAATTGAGTTCCCCATCAGGCTCTGTGTTCAGCAAGGAGCCTGCTGGAGAATCTCTCTCTCTCCCTCTCCTTCTACCCCCTCCCCAACTTACATGTGTGTTCTCTCTCTCTCAAATAAATAAATTTTAAAAAAAAGAACTAGGACTAAAAGTCTCTTGACTCCTGGTCCATTCCATGTTCCAGTCTATTCATAGGTGATCATGATGCTTTTTCTAAGAGGATGACATTGAACTTTCCCTCCTACAGTTTCTTTCTATTGGATTTCTCCCTCATTTCCCTGGCAGGACACCATAGAGGAGATAAAGGAAGATTTCTTGCTGCAGAATGAAGATGATTCTGTCAAATATTCCCAGGCACAGTGTAAGCAACTTTCAGAGACCCTGATGAAAAGCATTTCAAGAGGAACTTTCTTTGTTCCTGGAGGATACCATCTTTACTTAGAAGCAAAGGAAAAGGTTGAATGGGACTATAAACTAGTGCCCAGGAAAGGGGTTAAGGTGGGGAATAAAGAGAGAGGGGTAGTCGTCAGAATCCTAGAGTCAAAGGGTGTTGCTTTTTCTGAAAATCTAAGATTATAGCACCATTTTAACGGAGAAAGCAGAGCATTGCCATATCTCCACCCTCTTAGTTTTTATCTACAATTAGTTATATATTGTTGAAGAGACTAGAAATATTTCTTCCCAAGAAATGGTGTAGAATTGGGAATTCTGGATTAAAGAGAACAATTTTTCTTTGCTACATGACATGTCTCTGCTCCTTGTTTCTTCAGGCAAATGAAGTTCTCCAGCACTTCTTACAGAACCAGGTGGCAGTAGAAAACTCCATCCTGCAGGGAGACAATGTCCTCACCTATCAGGAGAAGGTCCTAGCAGGTACAGGTGCAGGGTTGAGCTCTTAGCAGAGTGGGTAGGTTCCTGCACTACTTTCAGACAGAGATGAGAGCAAAACCTTCCTGAAACAAAGAGCTTCCTCTCTTTCTGTGAAACAGCACTGCTAAATATAACAATCAGAGTTGTCTTTTTAAATCTGACAGACAAGGAGGGCCATCTCGATCACATTCTGAAATGTGCTCTTGGTAACCCACATAATTCAGAGGTTTCTCAGCTACCTTTTCAACATCAGTTTGGTATCTGTGCTGAGGAGGCTAGACTCAGACCTGACTTTTGTTTTCTTCTCTCTCTAAAACATTGTGGAACAGCTGAGTGGGCTTTGAAGGAGGCAGCTGAAAAACTGTAGCTGCTAAGACAGAAATACAAGAAGCAACAGCAAAAACTGGAGGCTCAAGAGAGAAGCTTCAAGGAAAGCATAGCCCAACTGAGAGAGAAGTTGGAGAGAGAAAGAGAAAACCTTCGGAGGGAACAGGAAAAAATGTTGAATCACAAGCTGAAGGTAAGTCTGCACAGAGCCTAGGCAGTGACCAGTGGACAGTGCCATGGTTCCTCAGGAGGAGGAGGGCCAAAACTAATGAAAATCATGATCCCAGGAAGAATCATAAAGACATGATTCATTGAAACCTCAGATTTGTCTGGACTCTGCTGAGGCCCTTAAATCCACAAACTCCAGCACCTAGTATGAGAATTTGTAATGTGCAATTAACATCCCTGAGGGTGCTGGGCTGCTGTTGGTGGTGACTGTTAGGGTGATCTCATTAGGCCCCAGTTAAATAGGGCCTTAGTCCACTAGTCCTTAGGATTCTTGGTTGAACCATCAAACAGACCTGAAAGAACTCCATCTGGTCTTAAAAGTATCAGATTGGACTTGAAATACAAGATTCCGGAAGCTCTAAAATGTACTACATTTGTTTCCAGATCTGTGTGAGTCATCTTGCAAAGCACAGAGGAAAATTAATTCTTCAACTCAACCTGGCACTTGATAAGCAGCAGTCTAGAGGGGGGGCAGCAGTTCCCATTATCTGTTAGATGTGTGTGTTCATGCTACCTCAGTGGAACTGAGAAATAATTAGAATTAATCCTACATCGCTCTGAAGGGCATCGTCAGTGCTGGAACTCCTCTCGTGAGGATAGTTCTCAGGTCTGACCTAGCCTGACCCCACCCCACTCTTAGTGAGGTGGTGCTGAGGGAATCATGGGAAGGTGTAAACCATGGATACTCCCTCTCTCCAGGACAGACTCATCAAAGAGCCCTCTCAGGTGATAGAACAGTAGACATGATGCTTCAATGCTGAAACTGTTAAACTCAAAACCCTTACTGTTGATAACAGAGGATTTTCAAAAGTGGACTCCTTCTCTTTTATAGATCCAAGAAGAACTTCTTAATGAAGGATTTCTAAAGAAATCTGAGGAGTTGCATGCAGAGATACAGCTACTAAAAAAAGAGATTGCCATGAATAATGAAGATAAATATTCATTGGGCCCATGGATCTTTGATGTGATTGATAAAGTGTTAGGGGAAGAAATGCCAGATCCTAGTGAGTTACCTGGTGTGGGGATGAAGATTCTGGGCTCATAATGACATAGGTCCAGAATTCCTTTTAGGGATTAAGAAAATGAGGGGGTTTTGTGATGCTGTGTCATACTTTGGAAGCCTGTGTCATATTAGTTTCTTCTAACAAAAGTTTAAAGATAAACCATGATTACCAATGATTACTAAGGTGTGACATACAAAAGTCAGACTTAATTTTGATCAAATTAAAGAAATAGTAAACAAGATTGTAAAAGAGAAGTATAAGAAAAGGCCAGATTTGCAGTTGCAGCAAAACAAATAAAATACTGCAAAATAAAATCATCAGACCTGATTGTTGCTTTCTTCTCTCTAAGATGTTTGTTGGACAGCTGAGCAGGCTAAGAAGGAGGCATCTGAGAAGGAAGTGGACCTGCCAGGCCAGAAATACAAGTAGCAACAGCAAAAATTGGAGGCTCAAGAGAGAAGCTTCAAAGAAAACATAGCCCAACTGAGAGATAAGTCGGAGAGAGAAAGAGAAAACTTTCAGGGGGAGCAGGAAAAAATGTTGAATCACAAGCTAAAGGTAAGTCTGTGATTCCTCAGGAAGAGGAGGGCCAAAACTAATGAAAATCATGATCCCAAGGAGAATCATAAAGACATGATTCATTGAAACCTCAGATCCATCTGGACTCTGCTGAGGTCCTTAAATCCACAAGACTCTAGCACTTTCTGTAGTGTTAGTCTTTGAAGTGAACAGATGGCACCCCCAGATTGCTAGGCTGCTGTTTGTAGTGAGAATAGTATGTTTTTATAATGCCTGGAGTGAGTAGGACGTTAGTCCTATAGTCCTTAGGGTATTAGTAAAACCATCAGATAGATCTAAAATGGATCCACTGAGTCATGAAAGTATCAGATTATGCCTGATATGAAATACAGAATCCAGAAAGCCCTATAATTTGCTGCATTTGTTTCCAGATCTGTGTGAGTTACTCTGTAAAGTGTAAGGGAACAGTCTTCCTTATTCCAACATGCAGCTTGATAGCCTGTTTTCTACACATTGTTAGCAATTCCCATTTTTTGTAGATGGGTGTGGCCATGCTGCCTCAAGTAGAACTGAGAATTAGTTAGAATCAAACCTACATTCTCTCCCAAAAGGCATCATTAGAACTGGAACACATTTCTGTCCCAGCACAGAGGCCACCACACAAACACCAGGTGTTCAAAAAATGTTAGAATAAATATGGGAGCTGCCATCCTTTAGGGATTGAGCCCCACATCAGGTTCCCTCCTCCACAAGGAGCCTGCTTCTCCCTCTCCCTTTGCCTCTCCCCCTGCTTGTGCTCTCTCTCACTATCTCTGTCACTATCTGTCTCTCTCTATCAAATAAATAAAATCTTAAAAAAAAAAAGTATGTGTATGTGACTCAAAGTCTGGGCCATAAAATTATGCTCCTGTGCTCCACCAGTACATCTTTTCCCTCCTACTAGATCAGATTTGGCAGCAGTTGAGCTTTGACCTTGCAGATAAATAGGCTTTCTTAGTGGATACAAAACAAGATGGAAGGAACCCGACTCCCTGAACAACACTGTGGAACAATGCTTCCACACATGCCTGGAGCGGTAGAACAGTAGTAATATGTCTTCTAAGCTGTAGCAGCAACCTTTGAAGTGATCTCTATCTCCAGTGTCCTCACTTTACTCTTCTTCCTTCTGCCATCAGAATGTGGAACTCAATACTATTCTGAACATACCTAATAACCTTCAAAGCCTGTATCTGCCTTTGGAATAAATTCCGTGACTCAGGTCCCAACTGATCTATCAACCTCATCTTTAATGAGCCTACAGATATAGTGAACTCCAGCTGAGTCCTAGCATTTGCTTACTACCATTATATATTTGCTCATTCCCTTCTTTCAGTCTAAAATACATTTCCTCCAATTTCTCTTTGCTGCAATCTGAGTCATCCTTCAAGATCCAGCAGTAATGGCACCTCTTCTCTGAAGCCATCTAAAATCCTTCTGAATATGATTAATTGTTGCTTTTGTAGCCAACCAAATACTTTATTTTTTTAAGATTTTATTTATTTATTTATTTATTTGAGAAAGAGAGTGAGCGAGAGAGAGAGAGAGCACGAGCAGGGGGAGGGGCAGAGGGAGAGGGAGAAGCAGACTCCCCGCTGAACAGGGAGCCCAACACAGGGCTCTATCCCAGGACCCTGGGATCATGACCTGAGCTCAAGGCAGATGCTTAACCATCTGAGCCACCCAGCAGCCCCTCACACACTTTATTTTTAACATTATTTTATCAGTAATTACTTCTTATTTAATGATAAAATATTTGTCCTTTTCACGATGCAGGTTAGCCAAGAATGAGAACTTTTCTTTGTTTTTAAATATACAAAAGCAGTGGAAATGCTAGTTTTGAAGGACGGGGAGGTTTATAATAATAACAAATAGACAAAACATAAAGTAATAGCTTTTTGTCAGCAGGCTTTGGTTAGGCTAATAACAAAATCTCAAATTTGAAAATTCCTTACCTTTAAATGAACTATTCTCAAAAGGTTTGATGACATGTATAAATGATACTTTCAAAAGTGGAGATTAACAAAAATTTACTTGTATAGATATTCACTATTGAACCAGATATCACAGACAATGAAGGGAAGCCAAACTAGCTAACTATTATTTTAATTTTGCAGATTGGATCTTTGGGTCAAGGGCAAAGATGCTCTTTCCAACTAGCCTCACTGCCAGACATCAAATCTTTTCCTGGAGTAATAGGGTCAGGGCAAGCTGAGGAATGGCCAAGAAACTAGGATGGTACATACCGGTAGTGCCTATAGTCACCATCAAATATGTATCATGAGACAAATTATACTCAATTCAGGGTGGAATGGAGGAAAAGTTACAGTCAGCTGATACTGTGCTGAGGGAAATGAACAGAGGGACATCAGGACCTCTCGGAGAGTGGCATTTGTGATCCTTTTGTCTTTTCCACATTCACAAATATTTAATGCTAGCATCTAGAACCCAGGTCATAGAGGAAGCATCCATCCTTCTGATATCAATCATACAAATACAAAAACCTCTTAAATTTTAATTTCTGTCCTTCTCCCCAAGCTCAAAAATACTAACTGCTGAACTAAGGGCAGCTATTCTTTTAAATTTGTACATAACAGTTTCTTCTTATTTCTTTTTTTTAAAATAGATTTCCCCAATCCCAACAATATCAGAGTATTTGTTTTGTTGTGTTTAACTCTCTCTCACAGTGGCTAGTGCCTCTTGCTCTTGTTCAAGAATATTGTAAATCTATAAATCTTGACTCCAAAATCATTTATTCCTTTATTCCCAGATTTTTATTAGCTGAAGAATTGCATCAAATAGATTGATGACCTGAAACTGCTTAAGGTCTGCATTTTCAGGAACCCCATGTGGATCAGGATATCATCAGTTTGGGGCTCCTTCTTCTTATGTTTCAGGATGCTAAATGGGACTCTTCCTATGAGGGGTCCACTAAGGACCCTGGACTGAGAATACTAGATGCCAAATAACAACTAATTCCAAAGCAAGGTGCCACACCAACTTTTACAGAGTTAGGTTAAACTCAAGTCAGTAAACTAAAGGAGAAATATCATATGATTATATCAATTAATGAAGAAAAGGCATTTCACAAATCTAACACTCATGATAAAACTTCCCACAAATGAGAAAGAGTACTTCGTCAAATTGATAAATAGCTGCAAAAAACCTGCCGCTAACATCATACTTAATGGTGAAAAACTAGATGCTGTCCGACTAAGATCAGGAACAAGGCAATGATGTCTGCTCTCACCACTTCTATACAACATCATACTAGAAGTTCTAATAAATAAGACAAGAAAAAGAAATGAAAGATATATAGATTGGGAAGGAAGAAATAAAGCTATCTTCCTTTGCAGATGACATGATTATCTATGTAGAAAATCTCAAAGAATCAACAACAACAAAAAACTCCTGGCACTAATAAATGATTATAGCAAGATTACAGGATACAAGGTTTACCTACAAAAATCAATTGCTTGCTTATATATCAGCAGTGAACACTTTGAATTTGAAATTAATACAATACCATTTATATTAGCACCCCTGAAAATTAAATACTTAGGTTATAAATCTGAAAAAAAATATGTACAAGATCTTTATAAAGAAAATAACAACTCTGATGAAAGAAAACAAAGACAATCTAAATAAATGGGGAAATAGTCCATGTGATGAATGGGAACACTCAATATTGTCAAGCTGTCACTTCTAGAGGTTAGTATAACCACAGTAAAAATCCCAGCAAGTTATTTTGTGGATATTGACAAATTGATTCTAAAGTTCATATGGAGAGGCAAAAGACCCAGAATAAACAACAAATATTGAAGTAGAAGAAAAAAGAAACTGAAACTACCCAACTTTAAGACTTGCTATAAAGTCTTTAAGACTTGCTATAAAGTTACAGTAATCAAGACTGTGTGGTCTTGACAAAGGAGCAAAAGCAAGTCAGTGGATAAAGGATAATCTTTTCAAAAAATGATGCTGAAACAACTGGACATTCATAAACCAAAAAGAAAAAGAAGATAGTATAGACACATCTTACAATTTTCACAAAAATAAACTCAAAATGGATTATAGACCCAAATGTAAAACATAAAACTATACAATTCCTAGAAGATAACATAAGGGAAAACCTTAGGTTTGGTGACGACTTTTTAGATACACCACCAAAAATCACAATCCGTAATAAAAAACTGATAAGTTGGACTTCATTAAAACTTAAAACTTCTGATCTTCAAAAGACACCATTCAGAGAATGAAATGACAATCCACACATTAGGATAAAATATTTGCAGAATATATATCTCATAAAGAACTGGTAACCAAAATATACAAACAATTCTTTAAACTCAAGAATAAGAAAACAACCCACTTTAAAATTGGGCAAAAGATCTGAGCAGACACCTCATCAAAGATTCACAGATGTCAAACAAGCATACAAAAAGATG